CCCACACTTCCCCAATCCATATTGCCTTGTGGATCTGGCTGGCCACAGTGTGGGGAGTATGCAGCACCTACAGATACTGAGAGAGGTGTAGGGACAGAAATTAGGCAGAAGCAAGTCATTCCCAGAGTAAGAAAGTGACAGTCAGCATGGGGACTCCCAGCACCCTGCTCAGCTCACTTTCTTCCAGCCTGCCAGCTTAGAACCCAGACAAGGCCAGAGCTGACAGTGGAATGCCTCTGTCTTCTCTACAGCAAGGCTTTACTCTGCCTACTCCTTGCTCAAACCTACACCATGACCATGTGAGGTGAATGAAGCAGACAGGAGGCCAGCAACAAAAATGATCTGGTTATTTTGAGGAGTATTTTGGGCAGGTTCCAGGGGTGCAAAGCAGTGGGGAGAAAGCTGTGTTCCATCTTTAGTGGAATGCCTCACTTTGCTGTACTGTGTTTTGTGACTTGTTTGCTTGAGCCTTTTTTAATCCACACTTTTGGGCTTTCCAGTGTGTGCAGACAGGACAAATATAGAATATAGTGACTAACAAGCATATACCTGCTATTTAGTTGTTATATAAAGCGCACCTGAGTACACCATTAATTCACATTTTAGGTTTGCTGGAAACTTCTTTTGGAAATTTGTTCTGGGCTGTTGCCACCTTGCAAGGATCCTTTCTAACCACCCCCTCCCTACCCCCAAGCAAATCCTCAGCTTGTTTTTAAATTACTACATAGAAGCCCTGTTAGTCACAGCAGTGACCACAAAAAACATTTTGACTTTGAAATTCTTATTTCATGCAACTTTCTTAGGTAACCTTTCCTAACATAGAATACCATTTGTGCTTGTCATGTGGCGACAGGCTCACCATCCTGGTAGGTGACAAAGAAATGTGTTGGAGACTGTTTTAGGTAACAGATCTTCTTGCACATCATTCATAGCCATCACTATGAACAACACAGTCCACTACTCTGCATGGGCCCCAGAAACACACATCTGAAGTGACCCTCCTGCCCTCATCAGCAGAATGAGCCATGCCCTTGTAGACCATGCAGTAACCATGCCAAAGCAGCATATCCACCTCATCCCTGTGACTGAGAACCCCTGTTAAGTCATATTATCTATTAGCACCAAAAAGCTTTATTACATTTGTATATAATCAGTTTGTTATTCACTACATGCATTCCCCACGTGCATCTAAGCAGACACTTAACAGGTCTTTTTCTCAGAAACGGAATGCAGTGCCTTGAAATTAACTGGCAATATATTTGTGTTTTGGACTGCCCTGCATGCCAAGATTAGCAGTATTTCTAACTGGCTACAGTCACAGACACTGTAAATACAGCATTCAGTCTGCTTCTTTGATCTGTTTAACCTATTCTAAGCATCGTAGTTTAGTCTGCTGTTTAAATACAAGTTGGGTTTTCCCAACAGCTGGGACCTGAAGTCAAGTTGCTTTATGGTCATGTTTTACTGTAATACATTAACTTCAATCCAGAAATGCAAGAGAAATTAATCCTTCTGCCAGAAATAAAGACTTACACAGAACAAAATCAATATATGCACTCAGAGGGAACTTTAGGTCTGTGCCTGATGGGATCTTACATGCTCCTGTAAATCTGTTTGAGAGCAGACTTCAGGGAAGACAAGCACTAAATCTGAATATCAGCTTGAACAGAAAAAAAAATGTTGGGGAAATTGATTTGAATTTGTGCAAGTGGTCACACACAACAGTGCTAGATCTTCTCTTACAGGAAATCCTGGAGTGCTGCTCTGCTCAGTCTGCCAGTTCCCAGCCCATTTAGCATCTACTTCAGAACATGCAAGAACTCTTAAATACAGCTTCACTGGGCTACTCTGCCACAGCAGAAACTTCTTTCATAAGGGCATAATATTTTGGGGAGGGCAGATGGGAAATTGCTAACATATAGGGAATTTCAAGAGGTCGAATAATTTAGAGGGCAGAGGACTGGATTTATGAATTCCTGCTCTAACTCCACAGCTTGCAATGACCAGGGATCAGTGTCTTGGTTTTGTGCATCATCTGCAATATGATTTTTTTAAAAAGCAGTCCTTACCTTGAAGACATGCAGATGTAATGAAAACAAGGCAAAACGAACACCCACCAACACCCACCATCCTCCCAAACTGGGGAGTTGGTGAGACCCCATGAGATGGCCTTATGACCCAGACTGATTTTAGTTACTGCAGATAGTGAGGTAATTGCTTCTTTTGGATGCAGCTGACCTTCTTTGCTTTCTGTTTACAGTATGCAAGTATGCTCCATATTCTGTTTGTTATGGCCATTTATCCGTATTCTTACTAAAAGGTTTTTTAAAGAAATGCAGTATCAGCATCTTCTCCAACACTGCTCACATCAGAACAGAATCACAGAATGAAGTAGGCTGGAAAAGACCTTTGAGATCATCAAGTCCAACCTATGACCTAATACCTGCCTGTGTGAACTGCAGCCCAAGCTGCCCTCACATGTGCCATGCCCTCAAAGACGTGTCACGCCCTCAGATGTGCCATGCCCTCAAAGACATGCTACTCCCTCAAAGATGTGCCATGCCCTGGGTCACCACACTCCCTAGAGCCTTCTTTGACTCAAAGTGCCGAGGGCCACAAGAAGCTCCACCCAGCACCTGAATGGCTGGTGAGAGGACCTTGTTTTCTGCTTTACTACAGCTTCACCTCTGAGGTTAAACACACCAGGAAGAGGAAGTGATTGTGGTCACTCAAATGCTCCCAGAATTTGCAAGTGAAAACTCCAAATGCACTCTCTCATGAGAATGCCTTGTCTCACCCATTTGCTTTGAACTTGTCCTGTGCACTTTCCATGATCACATCAGTCTTTGCATTGCTACTGCCTTGGCAAAACACCACCAAGGTTACAGAAGAGTGCAAGGTAAAGACTGATAAACCCACACTGCAGAATTCCAGCCTGACTTTCACTCGTATTTCTCATGAGCCACCCCCATCTGTGAAAATGTTGCTCTGTCTCTGCCTTGGCCTGGTGGGGAAATGAAAATCGACTGCTAGCAATCTAAAATTTCTTAAAGCCAGAATAAGATGCAATCCCTATGTAGTTTGTGCAGAACACTGGCAGGTAACTGTGTCAGGGAGCTTTTTTTCCTCTTTTTCCATGGCTTATATTTTGGAAGCAAGGAGCTTTTTCTCCAGCCAGCCTGGAATGCACAAGCACTGCCTGGAATTCCTCTCATAGTTGTGAAGCCAAAATGGCTTCTGCTGTAGCAGGAACTAGGGAGGAGAGGTACAGATTGTGAAAATGCAAAAATGGTCTGAGGGGGATTCTAAGAATCAGCGCATACTTCACCATGGTGAATGTTTCAAGAACACTGGCAGAAAAGATGAAGGAAGGAGATAAGAAAACACAGTTTGGCAGATAGCTCAGTCCATACACCCCTACAAAACATGGTCTTTTTGTAGAACAGGTAATTTTCAGCTCTTGATACCAACCTTAGCAGCTTGTCAGACAGGCTGCCAGCTATGTGAAGGCTGATGACAAAACCACTTATTCTACAGAAACCTACAAAATGGTGTTTCCAAATTTCCATTGGGTAAGGAAGGTCCTGCAAGCTGTGTGCTGATAGCCCTCATGCTGAACACACCCAATATGCCTTTTGTACCAATGTGGCAGACAGTGTCCCCCTGCTTTGGACAATGGCACTTGTGAAGTCACGTTAAAAACATTTTCACTATAGCTTACACTCTCTAACTCTTGATTACATCTGCCTGAACCCAAACAAGCAGAATTAGAATCTAGGTTTACAAAATGCTAAGAAGTATGAGAGGAAGTGTTCTCAGCCACAGCTGTTTTCTAAAAGACTACAGGACATTAATTAATTGGTGCTGCTCCTTGCAGACTCCCTCTACCTAGACTGGGGGGACTGGGCTGTGGATGAAGAGCAGCAATAGACCAGAACCATGCAGGGCCCTGCCTGGGATCTAGGCAGAAGTGACCCATGCTACAGTCAATTTCCCTTATCAACCTCATAAATGGCATGAAAAAATAAGCACATTTAATAACATTGAGTGATTACACAGTAGCTGATAAATAAAGATGTTGAAAATAAAGTTTGACCAGTCAATACTAATACATGATAAAGCTGTTACTGATATATAGCAAGCAGTTAATAACAATTATAAATAATAATGTACTCAAATAAAACCAATGGTCTCTTCAATCCCACCTTCTGCTCCTCCACTATGCTCCCTTTAAGAGCTTATTCCTCAGTCACTGACAGAAGAGGACATTAATTTAGACATTGAGTTATGTGCTCCTCTTTACCCCTCTCCATACATGTCCTGAATAATACCAGATTCTGGAACTGTTGCTTCATGAATTTTCAGTCCTCCCTACTTCATGTGTCCTCCTGGTTCCAAGAGCATTCAGCTAAAAAAAAAAATAAATCTGTTCCTGACAAGTGGGATGGTTTTTGTGGGATATGTCCATGGTCCCAGTTCCACACAGAGCCTCGCTTCTCCTGCCCTCCCTCCAGTCCTCACAGTGGGCCATTATATTAGATTGGGCTGATCCAAAAATGGGAGCTGAGGGAGACTCTCTGAAACAGGCTAGAAAAACTCTCTTATAAATGTGGTATGGCCCATAGGAGTACAGATTTTTAAAGCATTTTTGTCTCTGCTAAATAATGTCTCAAGTTCCATGTTTAAATTCCCTAAGTGCTGGAGTGTTCCCTGTGAGTACCTCACTAAAACTGAGGTAATGAAGGATATGATCAGTCTTCTGAGGGTGTTCTGACATAGAGGCAGGTCTGATTACATCATTTGTTTTGGGTTGAGTCTCAGGAGCTTTATAAAAAGCAGCCCTAAAGGCAAGGAGAGAGAAAAGGGGAGAGGAGGGCAATAACTCATTAGAGAAGCTCTGTATATGTGCATTCTGCTATTTGCCACATGTCTACAAGGGAATTTCCTCAGAGTGCAAAGAAACCTGTGAACTGCTGGAATATTATAAGTCTTTCCTTGAGATGTCAGCCAAGAGCTTCAGTATAGTCACAGTGGCTACTGTGCTCATTTTCTGCCAAAAGATTCAGCTCTCAATGCAAGCACCGTTGAATGGTAAAGTCTTTCAGCTTTCTATTTTATTGTCTCTTGTACCTTAAGGCAGCCATTTATGCAGAAAAATGGCACCCTTTCATTATTACTATTCAATCATGCTCAAAGCTGTATATTATTGCAGTCTGCTGTTGTTTGGAGTTAGTATCCTTATTTTAATTTCTCAGAATAGGTATTCTGACTTATACAGGGAAATTTGTCCTCTGATTTATTTGACATTACAGACTTTTTGCATGCTCAGTATGCTTCGTTTTGTTGATTTTTATTTCTCATAAAATGAAATGGAGAGTGGCCCTTTCAGAGTAAGTGTAAGCATCACACCTTTCCCTCTGCCTGTTTATTTTTAAACCAGAGAGAAAAAAAAAATCAATCTCTGTAAAGCACCCTACACACTAGAGGTCATTCTCATATATTGGCAACAAGACTAGTTTCAGGAGGTTGGTTTCCTCTCTTTTTAGGAGTCAGTGTTCATCTATTCAAGCTGATTTTAACCAATTTTCATTTTTTCAAACTAATTATAATCTTCCCAGTGTTATTATAGGCTATGAGGGGAATTGTTCTAAAGTTTTTGTTACTCAGCACGTATATCCATGGGACAAAAATGCTGGAGATTCAAACGTAATCGAGAGCTGTTGGTTTGTGGAGAGCTCTGTCAGGACAAGCATTTTATCAGATTTTTTGCATAAGCAGCAAAAGGCATGGAGTTCAAACTTTTAAGGTCATCTTCTTATTTTGTGCATACGTCCTCTGAAAAAATGCCCATAGCCTATAGAAGAATCTCCCACCTGAAGGAGAGAGGCTCTTAGAAATTGATGCTTTCAAGAACAACAGAATAAATAAAGCATGATGCTTTACAGGTGCTTTCTGTGACCATACAGAAGGTTTGGAATTGAAAGGATTTGTTGACAAGATATGTTTTATGATACATGCTGAAGGGAATTCTGGAGAGTGCCTGTCTCAGACTTACTTGGAACCTAGTCCCAAGAAATGGCAAGGGCTACAGTGTCTGCCTATCTCAGACATCTTTCCAAGTAGATTATCACACCTACAAGCATTCACACTTTCCTAGCTCTCAAGTGACACTGGAAATGTATTTTTCCCTGGCTGTTGATCAGTCAAATGCAGGTACACTGGCTCTAGGAACCTCTGCCACGCATGGGCACGTAACTGTGTCACTCATCAATACTCATCCCAACATGAACAAAGAGCCGAGAGAATGTTCACAGACATAGAGCCATTGAATATTCACTTCTAGATGTGAATCCTCCAATTTGACACCATGTGATAGTCTGCCTGACTCTCATTATCAGGCAGAATAAAAGCAACCGTGGGAATCCTTGAAATCAGAGGGTTTTGGGAAATCTGCAAAAGGCAGGCCTCAGAGACAGCAGAACTGTGATTGGAGCTAAGCAGAAGCCATAAGATTTGTCAGCAGAAAAGTTATATAAGAAGTAGAAATAAGGACAAATAGAATAATGGTTTGTGCATTAACACTTGGCTAGAATAACTCTCTAAGCTGCAGAAAAGTTCATCTAGTGAGATATTAGGAAGTTCTAAGCTTAATAATGGAGCTCTGTGCATTGTAGCCAAGGCTTACAAGGCTATTGTATTATAAATAAGCAAGCATTGTTTTAACCACAGGTACATGTGCTTATAGTGGTTGGATAGAACTACTGTCAATATGCTTTTGCTTTGTGTGATTGGTCAAAAAACTTTTAAGTGAGTTGTAACATTAACATTTGTAGTTACACTCCACTTATATTCCTTAGCTCTCTAACTAGAGAAAAATCCCAGGGGTGCACCTACAGACAATCTGTGGATATTTCAATTTCGAAAAAAAGTACTGAGAGCAGTCTTGCCCCAAGACTTAAGTGACCACAAGAGACTCATCCCTATGGGCACGATCACAGGGATAATTATAGTTACAATTTGAGTGAGGAAGGTCCATAAAATATCAGAAAGTTTGAAAGTATCTATGCTTTTCTGGGTTTTGCTCAACAGCTGGGATTAGAATGATAGAGAAAAATATTGCAACATTCATGGGTTTGAGTAGCAATTTTTTTCTTTACAGAGTAAGATCAATTTCAAATACTCACAGTAATATTTCCTTTTTCTTTAAACAGCGTCAAAATGGTCTTATATTGGTAAGTACTAATTCATACATACAAAGTTATGGCTTTCATCTGTACCTTAAAGACAACTGGCCAAATGTATTCTGGTGAGTACTTACTGGGATCACAATCCTTATCTAGGTTTGAATCTGGTCAATTTTCTTGAAATCTGTTATTCATCCACCAGGTTTCATATCTAGGTGACTGAGAATCAGTTACTGAATAGCTAAATTTCCTTGTGGAATGACAAGAATTTCAGCAGACTAAAGCTGGGCCTACGGCTGCAGATGGTCCCCAAAGCCCTCTGTTTCCTCAGCTGTCACATTCCAGCCTAGTCCTGCAAAGAATTCTCTCCCTACCCACATGAGTCTTCTTTTTCAGGTAGAATCAGAGTTCAGTAATTCACCTGTATTCTGTTACTGGAGGCTCAGGTCACCAAGGATCCCAGCAATGACAAAGCAGAATAAAACAGCTTTATGAAAGCAGTGTTAATTTGTAACTAATCCTTTAAGTCATCTACTAACTCAGAAGCACCTGGTGGTTGCTCAGGAAAAGAATTATCTAGTGTTTTTCTTTCAACTGCTCAAATCCTCTAGCCAGGTATTTCCTCACTCAGAGTAGCATTTTACATGCCAAATATCCCCACAGAAGTAGGTGGTATAGAGAATCTCAGAAAAAAAAAGCTTGTTCTTAAGCTTTTGGTGCTGCTCCAGGACAACACAAAGAACCTCTGAGAGTGAACTTGCTGCTAGGAACTCCTCCTTTTGGCTGTGCTCCATTTACCTGACTCGCCTCACATAAGCAGCCGGAGAGCTGCCAGCTGCATGTCTATCTGCCAGTGCCCACACACAGACCTCACATTCCCAGCACTGAAAAAGCTTCACACAGCTTTAACAAAAACCTGGGTTTTCCACTCTGACAGCAGCCATGAGATAAACCTAACCCTGCTGGACAGTAAAGAAAACAAGACTTTTTTTGCTACCATGAAAGCAGAAGTTTTGCCCTCCTTCCTTGTTTAAATTAGTTACCTCTCCCTTCCTAGGAATTTGGGTACCAGTGTTGTTTTCAAAGTATGTTATTCTCAGTGTCCAACTTCATCAATTCCTATTGAGCTCTTCCATACTGCAGTCTGATTTTGACATTCTAAATGTAAGGAGGATAAAGAGAAGGTTCACAAAACAGATTATCTTTTTCCTTCAGCTACAGATTTTGAAACATATCTAGAAAAATATATAAAAGCAAATGTATAAAAGAAACTTCAAAAAACTGAAGTGGCAACTGAATTTGTACAGAACAATATAGAAAAGCAGAGGCAGAGCATTGACTCCCACAGAGAAAAGCAGCTATTAGAGAGACTGTGCTGAGCCAGGAAAGAGCCCCTCCATACTCTCCTACTGATCCTTATGCCATTCTAAATCTTCCACTGTTTACCTTTGCCCCTGAAACACTTTGCAGTGCCTCAAAATGAAATTAAGTCAACAGGAATGGAAAGGAAATCAAGCCATTATAACCACAGTGCAGACTGATGTCAAGATGAGGGTCAAGGTACAAGATTAAGGGTGGAGGAGAAATCTGAGTGCTCATTGTCAGAGATTTCTAGTTGTTGAGTATTTTACATATTTTACAAGATGTAAAACTGAATGTTGATTCAGTGTTAATACCTCAGGCCATAGTGGCAAAGCAAGATGACACCACATGTGATCAGGCTTTACCTATTCAGCACAGGCTTTCCCAAGACATGAGAGTTCACCTTGCCTATAATGGAAACTACTGCATTAGATACATCAAATATAAAGGCTAAACCTCTCCTATTTGCTTCTTCCTTAGCCAAACTACAGCAATGCTATTTCTTCTTCCTATTTTCACTACCCTTGTATATAGACCAAGAAGTAGTGCCTGGAGGAAACACCACAGAGCAGTGAGGCCTGAGGCCTCCACTCCTGGTTACACAGGCTTGCTTTGTTTTGTCTGAAATGTAGCTCCATCTCCTGTAAGATGGACAAAGTAGATCAAGGGTATCATAAGGAAAGCATTTTCAATTAAAGAGCTGAAAGAGTGGTTCCAAGGCCCCACAGCTCAGGACAGCTTAATATGCATGCAGATTTTGGCAATCCGGCTGTGTGGCTGTGAGGTGCAGGCTGAAGTCTTCTGCCACAAAAAAAACTCAGTAGAAGTAGATGTTAGGCTTCAATTCTTTGGATTCTGGCTCTTTTTCTGTAATGTAAGTGGGCTGGAATGAAATCAAAGAACCAGAATCATCCCTTCAGAGTGGACAAGCAGCTACAACAGAGAAAACTGGCTTTGCAGACAAATTTAAGGCAATAGTGCCAACAGAATTATTAATGAACTGTAGCATGGGAAGAGACAACTTCATGCTGTAATGCAGGCACAAGAACTGTTGGTACATCAGGCTAATTTTACTTGGAAACTATTTATTCTGCTGCTGCCAAATACTCCAGTTGAGTGAGGTGCTGAGAACCTGTGCTAAGACCCTTTCACTTCCCCTTCAGAAATGCCAGCTTTAGTGAACACACTAGAACATGGCCCAGGTTTCTCATACAGCACTTGGATGCAGTAACAGCAACAGCTACCGCCCTTGGCAATTCCTCTATCTCACAAGCTTCTCTCTGGACACACGTGTGGAAGATACACACACATATTGGCTCTGTGTGCACAGGATGGTATCACTGAGCAAAATGGAACCCACGTGGTCATGTCACCATGGCAGGGAGCCTGGGCTCAGTCTTCACCACCATCTCAGCCCTGGGCAAACAGCAACTTTACAGCTTCCAGCTGGCTGGAAACAGGGCAAAGTGCTCTGCCTGGCTGCAGAAATACCACAGGCATTCCCTGTTTTACTGAGCCAATGTACTTTACTACATCACTTCAGATCAAGAGAACTTGCATAGACTGTGAGAAGCTGGAGCAACACAAATATTAATTGGTGATCAGAGCAATAGTCTGTTGGTACCACTGGTGTCTCATAGGGCTGTTTTCTCCTTATCTTAAATGGGCCAATGTATATACCCTGGGAGGAGACACCCTGTTCATGAAGGAACATCTGTCCTGCATTGCCCAGCAGCACCAGCATTGTTGGGGCTGGCTGGAAAGTGTAAAGCTGCCAAAGGAAATGTTACAATGGACACATGCAGTCTTGGCACTGAGGGTGTTTTGCTCAGCTCACTGGGTAGTGGGCAGCCAGACAATCCGGAAAATTATTCCTGCAAACTTGTGTCAAGCAAAGCAATCCACAGGCTGGATTTGAGCAGCCTGAGTTTGCCCTCCTCAGTGTGGGAGTGCAGGGAGGGCTCTTGGCAGCACTGGGAGCAGTGGCAGCAGGAAGGATCCTACCTCCACTGGCACCAGCAGCTCCCTACCTTAACATACTCACTCCAACAGCTGAATTGGAGTGTTGAGGGGGCAGAACAGGCCCATGGCACAACCAGTGCTCTGCTGACACAGTCCTCGTGGGATCCTCATTGCAGCAAACACTTCTGAAATGCCCGGGTCACAAATGTGTCACACAAAAAGGAAATTACCTTTGAAGATAATTTTGCAATACTTCTGTTAATATCTTTGGGGACTTGTATCACAGGCCAATCTTACATGCACAAGCTGTTCTTTAGTAGTGATCGGACAAAGCCTTTGTAAACACAATGTGATTTCCACTGAATTTATCTGAGTGTACTGGCACAGGAAAAGGAAAATCTGGTTCACAATCAATCCATTTTCAGCAGACCTAACTGAGAAATGCCTTCCAGCTGTGTGGTTTATCTACCTTGGAAATCTCAATTTCACATACGCAAAACTAAGCTGCAGTGAGCTCAGCTCTTTGAGACAGGAGTTTTGAGGCATTGAAATTAGAAAGACTATGTGATAAAAGACAGAACTTCTATAAAATCTGGGTTTGTACCAAAAAAGAGGTCTTGTTTGGTTTTGTAGTTTTTTTTTTTTTTAATTGAGCAGGAATGAGAAACAAGCAAAATGTTCTATAGCTTAAAGGCCTGTGAGTGGTGTTCCAGATTATGTCAAGAAAAGGGTCAAGATACATAAAGACTGTGATAGTTGCATCATTTTATAGAAAAGACAAAAGTTTTCCTTCTGAACTGACAACGTAGGTGTGAAGTTCCCATGTTCGCTTGCCAGCTCTTCCAGACATTTAAGTCACCCAATCACAATACCAAAAACTGATTGGTACTTCATGTCTTCCTGGCTGGGACTAGACTTCTATTTTATACATCAATCACCTATTTAATTATCAAGTCTCCAAAGCTGTGATATGTAATATATTAAAATCTTCTTGCAAACTCATTACCTTATCAAGCCTTTTAAAATTATTGAAGTCTTTTTACAATAAAGGCTTCTCACCAATTTTCTGACATTGCTGTAATCTTAGTTCCTTTAAAAAGTGTTAAATTTCAGCGTCATTGTCATGCACAGTAAGCTTGAACCTAATAAACTGTCATTTCTTGGAATATTCTAATGCATATTTTCCTGGGAAATATTCTTCAGTATGTATTCCACAGTCTGGAATTTATGCTCTTCTGGATGTATTTGTTATTTACCAAAAATAGGTAGAGGAGAGGCTTCTATAATGTCAGCATAATACTTTTTAGCTTTTTAAAATCATTTCAGCAACTTTAAGATAGTATCACAAGGATGTAAGAAGAAAGAAATTGATGTGATTGTCAGTGAACTGGAGTCAAAAACTTAAGTTACAGCAACAGTAAAGCCTATTTACACTGAAAAGCACTGATTGAGTCTGTCAAACTCTGCACACTGCAAACAATGTCACCTGCTAAGCCCTAAGAGTCTTGAACACTCTTAAACAGCTTTAGCAAGAAAGTAAGTCTGTCTTTAAGCACCAGAACTGATCTTGTTGATTCTGTCACATGAACTATGTTTAGGAAAGATTCACCCCCACTATCCATTTACTTGGCAATTGTCTTTCATGTAAATAAGGTGAACTGCTAATGGTATCCTCCTGCCTGTTAATTTCCTTCAGAAAATATCTGAACTGGCTTTGCCTGTTCAAAGAAGCCCCTGGGAATATTATAGTTTTGGAAAAGAAGGCTTCTAATCAAAGACTCAAGGGACTCAATCTACATAGTTGAAGAGAAGTGAGAAATTATATCCTCTATGTTATAAGTACTTCAATGAGGAACAAAAGTATGGGAACAGCAGGCTCACAGTGAAAAGCAAGGAGAGTAATTATCCATTGGGCACTAATGAAGTATCTTTTATCTGCAATGCTGAAAGGAAGAGTAGAGGTTTATTCCCTTCTGAAAACAATGGCCTCATGGAGTAGAAATCTATCCAGGGAGGCCCAGTGTCCTGTGTTACACAGATCAGACTGGTGATCCCTAAGGACCTTCCTGCCTTGGAAAGAATCATGAGTGTTCAGAGACAAGGAGAAACAAAAGTTGCAAGTATATTTAAATCCAAATCATCTCATCTCACAGTCTGTAAACAGCTGCTAGCTGGTTAATGTGCAATTAAAGCAAAGGCACAATTAAAATTCTCTTGATATTATCCATTCTTTGTAGATCTTACCTCGGGCAAAAGGCTGCGATGAAAAGTTTCACCAGAGTTTGAGCAAGTTATTGCTGGTCAAATTACCATAACACTTTCAATTTTTGCAAGTTAGCTTTTCACTGTGGGTTATGCAATCCTGTTAGATAGGGCCAGACAATTTGTACAGTAAGGAAATATCTGAGGGTCTGACATAATCAGACCTGTCTCTAGGTCACAACACCCTCAGAAAAATGATCATACCCTTCATTGCCTCCATTTTAATGAGGTCCTTTTTTAAAAAACAAAGTCTTAAAAACTCAGAAAAGGCTTCTTTTCCAAATTTTTTGTGAAGGCTGACACAGGAGAATTTCTGTGTTAACTGCAAGTGAAGGTTTGACAAATGCGTCTCTGTTAATTCACACAGGTCCTGATGGAGAGAAGGCCTGGCCAAAGAAGTACCCATTTTGTGGAGGAGTATTCCAGTCGCCAATTGATTTCCACAAAGCTATTCTCCAGTATGATTCTAATCTCTTGCCTTTAGAATTCATAGGCTATGACGTGCCCTCCACTGACCAGTTTACATTGATCAATAATGGCCATTCAGGTAAGGGAGCTCACAGACTGCAAGGAATGGTAAAAGAAAGAGCTGCAGGAACTCACTGTTTTGTTTTTTTACTTCATGGGTAATCCTTTGATTATTAGATTAAATTAAGCTGCTAATCAGATGAGAAAATCTTCACATCAGCATACCTACATCTAAAGAACAGGCTAGAGAAATCTGGGAAAGAACTAAGTACAAATGGATTCCCAGTAAGTAAAATTTTAAATAAAGAAATTTAAAATAAACTCTAGGCATGTCAGAATTAATGCCCAAGGTTTTCTTATTACTTTGGTTGAGTTGCACTGAAACAGAAACAGACTGTGATTTTTCTAAAAAGAGGTTGACTGATAACATATGAGCAATGGGTCTCTTCAATTCATCACCAATTATGGGAGGGCATGGGGAAGAGGAAAAAAATGTAGGAGCTCCATTCTGTTCTTTTGAGTAGAGATAGAAACCTCTTTAGTGTAAGGTAAGACAGACAGTGATACATAGTGATAGGTGAGAAGACAGAAAAATAATTAGTGTACAAACAGGTCCTCCCCACAGTAGCACCAAATCCATGTCAGTACAGCAGGTAAAGGCAGAGATGATGCTGTCTCATAAAGGTCTCCTATAATGACACAATATACAATACCAGTGAGTCAGCCCCACCGTTTTTCATTCCTTCCTGAAACACTTGAAAACATAGCAATAAGAATAGTTATAAAGTCCTCCTTCCTGGTATCCTCATTTATTGCAGAAGTATCAAAATAACTTGCATTATAAAATGGCCTCTGTTCTCACATGCTTGGTTATGAATTGACCAACTTGCAAACCCCACTTTTTAAATCATTCTTTCAGTGAAGTTGACCTGCTCAATTGAACATCACAAGCCCATTCTTCAGTAAGGGCCAACCTCCTGCGACAGACTCCTGGTTTTCCTCTTGATCAATTTCTCCTTTAAAACCAGGTTGCTTCAGACTAGGAATGGCTGGAACATCCTTTCCTTGTAAGCCTTCATTTCCTGAAAGTCCTTCTCAGTCCTAAGTGAAAGACTGGACTGTCACAGTTGAATGCAGCGGGCTGATGCGACAGGCAATAGGCAGAGAAAATCTTGTCATTGTGTACTTGAATGGTGCCAGAGTACAGAAGGAGCCAAAAGAACAGCACTGAGAGTCTGTCCCTCCCAAAACAGTCACACAGGTAAAAGCAAATTCCTTGGAGAACCTAAGTCACTACCACTGTCAGATCTCACCTCTAAAATACCAAGTTTGATTATTTCCTAAAGAAAGTCAAGACAAAAGTATCAAGAAAATGGGAATTCATTTACAACATCAGTGCCCTCCTAGAAAGCAGTAGAGATGCATCCTGTGCTAGGAACCACACTTAGATACAAATTAATTTACCTCTGAGTAACAAAATTTAGCCTCGGTTGGACTGATCATTATACCATCTGCTGCTGACTTCTTTTTCAGCCAGAGGAAACCAGTAGGATGCTTAGAATTGTGCTGTCAAGTAATTCCTATATGATGTTTGATGCTCTTCACCAGCCAGCTCATTCAGACACAGTCACCTACATCAGCTGGACTGAAAACAGTAGAGCTCAAAAAAAAATTCCCTTTCAGTAGGAGTCTAAAAACACAGAGGGTCACAGCTGTTACTTCACTACGGTTTTGAGCCTTGTTTCCCCTGAAAAACATGTCCAGGGCAGTCCAAAACCAAACTGTATTCAGTCTGAAAAATAATGCAGATAAATTGCAAAACGATCAATCTGTTCTTGGCATAAGCCATTGCTTTATGAAGTACCAAACTCTCTAAGTGAACAACTGAGAAGTTTCTGCTGGCTTGAGAATTACTGCTGTAATTTTTACACAAAAATCCCCCAACAAGCCAGGCTGCCTTCCCCACCCAAGAGCATTAGTGAGGAGAAGGGAGGCTCATGCATACAAGGGTGTTGCTCCAGCATGTCAAGAGAGGAGATGTTCCTTCTTAAGGCCTAGGATTATCCTGCTGCTCGACATCAGTGTTCTGGATTTCGGGAGCAGCAAGGAAAGAGAGGAGTTTATTTGGTTTTATCCTGTGTCCCCAAAGGAAGATTAAGAGGCAGCAGAGTTCAATATAACAGGGGATATAAATTACCATGAGAAATATTAATTTATTAATCAATTTTCAACCATTATAAGGGGATTGAAAGAAGATACATGAGCATAATTTTGCTTTGAAATATCAGTAATTGTCTCTTCAATGTCTGAGATAAATTCACATTCTTCAAAGATTTCCACTAGCAACAATTGTCGCTTTAAATTCATGTATTTAGGAAAATAGAAACAGGTATGTTGTAAATGCTCTAAATCCTGATCTACCAAGAAAGGCTTAAAGAGAACAGAAGTGTTTATCTCTTACCATGGACTGAGATGGATTTGAGTCAAGAATCTGCTTTTTTCATGCTCCATATATAATATACTCAGACTCGGTACTTTTGTTTGTCCTGTTCCTGTCCCTGAGTGGTATCAATTGTTCCTATCTGGTTTTGATCTGCTTACAGTGAAAATGTATCTGTCACCTGCTATGTCCATCAGAAACCTCCCATTTGAATACACTGCATCTCAACTTCACCTGCACTGGGGGAACCAGAACAAGTCGGAAGGCTCTGAGCACACCGTGGGTGGGAAGCATTTTGCAGCAGAGGTAAGGCAGACCAGCTCAGACTGCGGAAAGAAGCAAAGAAGGTTGCGCGGGTAGGTTCTGTTGTTTCAAAGTGGGATCTCTGTCTCGGGTGAATGACTGTAAAAGGCTGTGAGGTTCTAAGCCAAGTATTTATGATCAGCCAGAAGTCCCTGAAGAACCCTCCTGCACCATCTCATCCTGAGGTGGCTGCATGGTCCTTTCCAACTGTGAAACACAAATGTGAGCATAACCCAGATGTTATTGTAACAAAGCATCTTCTCCTTTGTAGCTGCATATTGTACATTACAACTCTGAGAAATACCCAGATATAACAGCAGCAATGGACAAAGCAGATGGACTGGCTGTTCTGGCTGTTCTCCTTGAGGTAGGATGCAGGATCTTTGTTTTCTGTTTGTTTAGAATATGCTTTCAATCATTCAGTTATGAGACACCTTTAATGCACAAAATCACCTACATTCTTTACATTATTATTATCATATACAGTGGCTGAGTAAAGGATCTTCCTTTCCTCTTTCACAAAAAATTAAAAAGAGTCAGATTCTAGCAGCACATACCAAACCAGGAGCAAATGCCACAAAAAGAGGAATTCTGAGTATTTCCTCATGGTATTTAGTAAATTAACTTCAGCTATGTTAAATCCATTTTTGCATTCATTTACAAACTAATGATTGGTAGTGTTTATCAAATAAGAGGCAAGAGTGAATTTCAAGCTCATTCACTCAAAGCTGCCTACTGTAGCATGGAGCAGTTTGAACACACAGAGAAGCACAGGCAGGCACAACCCTGCCTTTGACCACTGTATGTAATTAGGATTTAACCACAGTCTTCTCCCTGCTAACTTCCCAGATTCTTTGAATCACAGATTACAGAAAACGAGTATGTCCAGTGACATTTTAAGATATCAGGACAGCTTTCCAATTTTTTTCGCTTAAGTCCTACATATGAAGATAATAACGGTCTTAAACAAAAAGAAAAAAAAATAGTAGCTTGTATGTGTATAATTCTTATTGAGGATTAAAACTCCTCACTAAGATAACTGTAAAGATAATTTTTAAATGAGAGGATTTTCTGCAGTATAACAAAGCAAAACCACAGGTTTCCACATTTCCATCAAAAAGTAAAATGTTCCAGTTAGCAAACAAAGCTTGCCTTGATATTACCCAAGCTCACTTCCTAGCACCTCTAAGATTCTGAGAGTAATTTTGTGTTAAATTTCAGTTAATTTGGAAGTTGTAGCTGTGAAAAGTGTCAGAGTATTGTACATTACACTAGGGAATAATACTGGGATTCTGGTTATTTCTAAGCAATGGCATTTGAAAATCAAGTTAATGAACAATGGAGATTAGGTCTTGGAAATCCTTTCAGACAGCTGGTGGGTATTACAGTTAATGTAAGGACACCAGTTTACTATGTCTGGTTGTCAGAGGAGTTGCTCAGCACCAGCTCTGAGGAATTCATTAAAAAGGCATTGATTATTAGACTGAAAAGCTACTGGTAGCAGTTGAAAAAGAGTCTTGTGTGATAGATGAGTTATAGGCTTGGTCAGATGTTGAGTTGTAGGCCTGTGGTACCCAACAGGGTCATTCTTTACCTCCCCGGACTGTGAGAAGCTGCGCTATAAAAATGTTTGTGGGTGGAAAAATGTGGCTTTGACTGGAAACCAGGAGATGATCTGAGAAGCCTGGCAGCTGAGAACTTCTGCCTGCACTGCTTTCAGAGGAAAGGGCTTCTCTTCATTTGCACTGCACTCTGAGCAGGCAGGGGCAGTAGGGTCAGTGCCCACAAAAGGTCTGCACTGCAGGTGTAAAGGCAGCAACACAACAGAGAAGCTCTTATAGCCCTGGAGCAGGAATATTATCATGGCTCGTATTCAGACTGGTGATTTGCTGCTGTTGATAATGTGATCATTGCAGATTGGACCCTTCAGCCCATCCTATGAAAAGATCTTCAGGCACTTCCGGAATGTGAAATACAAGGGTGAGTGGCAAAATCGGATTGAGAATGGCTGAGAGTAGCAGGTGTCACCCTGAGAGGGATTGAACTGGCAGAAGAAACATTCCTGAGATCCCACACAAATCTGTCACAGACTGTGAAAGGCTTCCAAATGCAGGGCATTCCTGGGAAGAGAGTGTATGGCCAGCACGCCCCATGAGATGCTGACTGAGCCTTATTCCACATGGATTTTCTAGTTAATATGGCCACAGTTTATCTTAGAGGAGTCTGATTTGGTGTCTCAGACAAGATTTGTACATAGGAAACTTAAAAAACTGTAGTCCTAATTAAACTGGGACCTCCTCTGCTAAAAAAATTTTTTCTTTTCCTAGAGATATGACACTGAAAATATCCTAAAAAAATTCATTTCACCTGTGTACTCATGATGCAATATTTAACACAAACCCCCTTTTTTAGATCAGAAGGTCCTGGTCCCTGGTTTCAATGTTCAAGAGCTGCTTCCTGACAGACTGGATGAGTATTATCGCTACGAAGGGTCCCTGACAACTCCTCCCTGCTACCCAAGCGTTCTCTGGACAGTTTTCCGACACCCTGTTAAAATCTCTCAAGAGCAGGCAAGTTCCAACTTCCAGCAGAGCACATTTCCCTGACTGCTGTCTGCTAAAGAACAGTAAATACATAGTCTCATTTCCTGGATTTCTCATATGTTCCTGTAAAACTGAGCAGGGACCATTGCTAAAATCCTTTAAGTGGGAAGAACAGCACAGAACTAACATAAATCAATATCCCATTCTGTTTGTTATTAGTACGTTCTCAGTTGACCAGAACAAAGGACAGACAGCTGCGCAGCAATTGGTACAGTATCAGCTTGAAAAAATTCCAGTCGAGTGAGATGAATTTTGATTTTCATTATGTACTTACTCCCTGGCTCCAAGTCTTTCAATGAGTTACCTGCAGGTTATTGTTTGGGCTCCATATCTGAACATTAATCACCAAGTGTTTTGGTGTTACTTTGATCCTGATGGACTTGAGTGGGTTGGAAAGTTTCTAAAAAAGGCTTGTGTTGTGTTATTTATCCATCTTGAGTTCCCTAACTTTTCTCCCAACTTACATTTTTTTTGTGCTTATCTAATTACCTTATTTTGCTGTTAGGTGGCCACTTACCTAGACTATAAACTCACAATCACTATCTTCTGATTCACCTAATTATAGACACAGGGGAAAATATTATTAACAAAATCTCAGATCAAATTACTGCAAGCTCATTGTTTTGAAAATACATTCTCAGCTTCTGTCAGACCATGTCTCTACCAAAATAAAGAATTCTTTCCAAAAGTTGCCTTTAATACTACCTAGGGATTAGACTATGCCAGGGAGAGTATGCTGGGAAGTCTACCATGTTTTGTCCCATTGAATTTTTCTGGCTGACAATCTGATAGTAAGCAGTAGTTTCACCAGGATCTAAACAAAATACAGGTATGGACTTGGAGATGTCACTCTGTTTAAACATTATTCTGTATTTGGGTTCACAGGCCACATGAAACTTAATTATTAATGTATCCCCTTCCCTTTGACTACAGCTGTTTCTTTTTTCCATCACTCCCAGTGATCACACACAGGCACTGCTTTCTCTGTGTTCTGTGAGCTGATCAGGTGCATCCCTTTGTAGTTACTGGCACTGGAAACAGCCATGTACTGCACAGAGCGTGACGACCCAGAGCCCCTGGAAATGGTTGACAACTTCAGAAATGTTCAGGATTTCCATGAAAGACTGGTTTTTATCTCCTTCCGTGAAGGTGAGTTGTGTGAATGCTTCTGTGCAAAGAAACAGTGCACAGCGATCTGTGTAAATGTGAATACTGAAATGGCAGTCCTGTCCGACTGTACCACTACAAAAACACTGATATCTCTCTGCAGTTCACTTGGTTGCCTTTTCTTCTCACACTGCATTGTGCATGGGCAACTCTACAGGAACGTGGTATTCCCAGGGTAGGCAAGAATTTTTTTCCACAGTGGGTATCAGGGTATGAGGGAAGCCCTGCAACCGCTTTGATCAAAGGCAAGGAGACAAAATAAGGAAGACATGATTGGCCTTGTCATGCTTTGCAGAAGTATTTGCTGTCACTCTAAATACTAAACAGCTCCACAGCTGAGCTCTTTCAGCCAGTGTGAGTGCTTAAGATGGCCTTGTCTCACCAGTGACATTTGCTGGTTCTCAGCAAGGCCAGGCTTGATCTTCTGCAGTCCACACATTTAAAGGGAGTCTTAACTTCAGGGACACTGTTTTGGGGATATTACACAGAATCAAAAAAGGTCCTTGAGGAGTTCAAACTTGGCAAATAAATATAATTCATAACACTGGATTGTATGATTCAGTGCTACAAATTTAAAAAAAACCAAAACACCACCATTTTATGAGGAGGAACTGATTCAAAAGCTTAACTCTGCAGTGCTACACAACAACAACACGTAAGTTTGGCTGGGGGGCTTTGCACAAAAGTCTGCATCTGTGGTGAGAAGCTGAGCTATACCCCACAGAAAGGCCTTTAGTACATTGTGCAAAATGTATTGTCAAACTGCTTTATTGTCTTGCAAACATTTACTTTTAAGGATCTGTGAAGCTGGCATGTACACTCAAGGTAGATGATTTCAGGCAAGCCACTGCACTATTTGAAATTATAAGATTTATAAAAGAAAAAGCAGACGTCACCAAAAAGATTAGCCAAGCAGTAAACTTCCAAATTAATAAAATGTGTTAGCACAGCATTTCAGCTTCACCTCCCATTTTCTTCACTGTTTAGGTGAAAAAACAGAAAACACAAGTTGTCTGTTTTGGACACAACAGAAACAGTTCCCTGCAGGCACATTGCAGTAGCTGTTCTTGCCATTCCTCTCTGCAGACAGACCTTTTCATAAAGTATCTCTTCTAATAGAAAGTTATAAAGAAGAAAAGTGAAAATTAGAGATCAGCCAAAATCCTGGGCAGAACATTTCTCTGAAATCAGAGATGATTTAGATTTGTCGCCAAAAGTTGGCTGATCTCTTGAAATGAGAGTTACACAAGGAGTGCTCTTGTTGCTAGATTCTAAACATAGTACCTAAGAAGATATTACAATTTAACATGTTTGCCAAATTGTCAACAGTTCCTAACATCTCAGTGATCAATATAGAAAGTGATACTAGTTGCACAAACAACGTTTTGAGTAAATGGAAAGATGACTGAATAGTGAAAGAGGGGAAAAACTAGATTATGTCAGCTTTTTTTCTCCTTTTACGGGGTGGCCAACCAGATAAGAATGCCATGGGGGGTCATTTTTATGACCACAAAAAGGTTAAAACTTTCTTCTTCAACCTCCAATCTCACTGGCTGATGCCTAGAGAGCTAGCTGGGTTCAGAATGGTTATTTTAATCATCATCTTCAAATCACTGCTCAAGCCAGATTATGTGCAATGATTTCAACCAGCAGAATTTGCAATGCAGCTTCCATGTTTCTGAGACTAAGGCTTCCTCTGCAGGTCCTAAATCCCTGCACAATCTATGATAGCAATGCCACTGCAGAAACAATTCCTGAAGTACAAGTTCCAGGGTGAGCACCACCCTTGGGATTATAATAGGTTCACCATGGAATCCTCTGCAGTGACCCAACTTCTGCATTTTCTACCCTCATCCTCTGTTTATCACAATTCACTACTGGTGGGCTTGGCAAGGGTGTGTTGTCAACTCGTAACAGCACCTACAAGCCATTGATCTGCTGAGTCCAAATGGTCAGTCAGAAATGAGAAATGCAGTGTTTCATCCATTGCTTAAACTGACCTCTAGCACTTGACTGTATTCTCTCTATAAATCATACTCAGTACTCAATAGTAGAAGGTAGAGAGTTACAACCCATGAAGCCAGGAATTGAAAATCTGACACTATGCTTCTCATCTAGGAATCTCCAAATATTTCACAGAAATAGTGTAAGCATTATTATTTCCATTTATGGGGGAAAATTTGATTTAGATGTGACTCTCAAAGTTGTTGCTGTGAACCAGAGCCAAACCAAATAATAACATTTGGTTTTCCCTCTGCTAAGGCACAATATTTTGTGCCTTAGAGATGACACCAGCCATAAAAACATTTTCATTGTATCTTTAAAGCTGGCTTAACTTAGCAGAGTTAAACTGTAGGGGTTATTGCCCCGTTCACACCCCAGAACTGGTCTCTATGGCTATGAAGGACATTGCTCAGTGCTACTTTAATAGAAATCCCATTCAGTCTAAGTACATTAAGTTACAAAAGCTCATTGACTCTACCAGTGAACCATAGAAAAAATGTTCAACCCATTTAAAAAAGAGTATTCATTTCCCCTGTAATCTTACATTACACTTACTGCAGTCACAAAAGCTTCCTCACAGGGGCAGCCCCTCACCTAAAGGGGAAAAAAGGAAAGAAAGGGGAAAAAAGAGAAAAATAAGGAGAAATGTCTCCTGTCAAAGCTCAATGAAGCACACCTGGCTGCTGCAAGTGCCCAGCCTGATGCAGTCAGCTGCACCTCAAATAGGAACAGAGCACACCTATTAAGAAGGGAAGGAAAGGCCAAGAGTCAAGGATTGCGCCAGGCAACCACTGAAATTTGTAAAAGAAATCCTGTTGTGCACACCTAAGCCCCTACCAAGCAGGTTTTCAGAGAAACTTTTCTGCCTTATCACTGACAAGCCTGAAGCGCCACCTTCCCCTGAGCACAGACACCACAAGATGGGGCCACTGGCCTGTGTTTTGTAGCAAAATTGAAAATGCCTGAGGTGTTCAGTCATCCACATTTTTGATGCCAGTAATGACCATCTAAATTCACGCCTATATTTATAAGAACCACATTTCAAAAAGCCTCTAATCTTTAGGGATTACACAGCAAAACTCATGTGAGTTTGTAATATATTTTGTCTTATCAGCAATTTATTTGAATAAAATCCCCTTCATATAAATGCAGCTGGAATTTGCTATAATGTTCAAACCACCTGAGTTAAAAAGGAACTTGTGTCTAGTTTTGATTGGGTACCAGGCTGAAATACTATCTTACTAAATTTTCTAAGAAGATCCTCTCGTCACACAGAAGTGCTCCCTGCCCTTTGCCTTCAAACTACAAGCTCTTTTTTTTCCTACAGTTATCTCTTTGGTGTTGTTATATTTTTGTATCCATTTGACACCTTTACTATGACAATACTCACCTTTCACAAAACAGCTCCTCTTCAATTCCATGGATTGCAAGCTTCTTCCATTCAGCTGGACTTCAAATTAATGGGTCAAATGCGGTTAAACTCTACATTTTACACTTGTTTTCATCAACAGCTGATTTAATAGGAGAAAATATTTAGATGGAATGTGTGAAACCTGTCAGTTTGACTCTGAAAGTGCTCTGTTGTTGCTTAGTGAGAACCAATCATTTGAAAAACTATTTTTAAAAATGTGTAAATAAATTAAGAAAATGCAGTTAAGAAAAGGGAGATCACCTCCAGGATCTTTGTGGAAGCCAAAATAAATAAAAAATACCTCAATTGCCAAAAGCATACATGAAGCTCACTAAGAAATATAGCATTGTGATAATCCTTAAATCTTTATGCAAACAAGGGATCACTCAGTTTTTCCTACCAATATCCTGGATTCATTTTTACCTTCTTTGATGCCTTTAAGCAATGTTCTCAGCAGCAAAGAATATTATTCTTCAGCTGTCCACAGTCAGTGGTGCTCTGTGGTGTGAGAGAACAAAAAGGATTGAATTTAATGTCCTTGATTGCCTGGGTTTAATTATTTGGGTTTGTTTATGAGCTCTAATTTATTATAGCATAAAAATCATACTCCTGCTATGACCTGCTCTACCAGGGCCTCCACACTGGCACTGTGGCTTCAACATGTGCATTATACCACATGTGAACTGTGGAGCCAGCTGTGGGACTGGGACATCCCAGAGAACATCTGTGCAGAGCTGCCCATTCACAGCCACAGCGTGGTGTGACAAGGCTGTAGAAAGGTTGCCAGTGCAGAACGCAGACATTGTGGCAGATCAGAGACTCACCTTCTCCACTCAAGGCAATGGTATTAACATTTGTGCTTGTTTTCCCTCTTTTCTCAGGTTTTGTGGTATCTGTTGTGATAGCCTGCATTCTGGGAGTTCTCATCATTCTTGCAGTAGCATTCTGGCTACTGAAGAAGAAAAGGTAAGATGCCTGGCTATCATATCACCAAAAAAATTCAAGCCATATTTTCCCTCTGACATAGACAAGTGCTTGCGTGTCCAAAACTTTGACCTTTTTTATAGTGATAAAGTTTGGTCTTTCAGAAGACATGATCTCTTCCTACAAACTATGATTTGTTTTTATTACTGTAGACATTATTTCCTTGTGTGATATGAGGCTGGGTCAATAAAAGACTTATCTAGTTTTCCTATTTCCCAAATGCCATTTGTTCTTTTCTTGTTATTTTTGCTAGCACTACTGCTCCTAATTGCTTTTTGGTTCCTTCCATTTTTTCCTGGAACAGTATGTGAAACAAGGAGAATGGAATTTTAGGAAAACCTCTCCCAAAGATCACAACCTTTTAGATGAAGAAATAAGTACTACCAAAAGATCATTAAGCCACTGTTTGCTGACAAAGCCAAATCCTGGGGAAAAAATCTAAGGTTACAAATTTTGCTACAGCCTGATTTCCTTTGCATTCAGCATTGACCTTGCATACAAAATGTGGTCTCCTGAAATATTTGAAACAATTAATAATAATAAATAAGCTATGTGACATTTGCACTAGTACAGAGAACAATAATCTCATACATGCATAATGGACAACTTTAAGTAACTAGTTGTGCTTTTCCTTCATTGGCATTACAGTTATTTTTTTTTTATTTTAGCTGCAAAAAGGGAGGTGGAGACAACAGAGGAGTCATCTACAAACCAGGCATGTACAAGGAGAAAGAAGACATCTCCAAAATTTGATGCCCTGCTCTGTCACAAAAGCCCCTTTTCATTCATAACACTGATTTATTTTGAATTAGTGAAACACATCACTTGTTCTTGGCTAATGATAACCCTCAGGAGAGTTCTAAAAACACATACCAGCCTAAAGTTTTCTGTAGCCCTTGTTGTCTTGTTTTCCAGAGAGATATGATCAGTGAATTCCCCCGAGCCGAATTCCTCGCCACATTCTTTTCATGTCTGCTGCTTACCGAGTCTGGGTGTTTTATTTGATTTTACAGTTAATCCTAAACTCCAGTTTTATGGTTTGTTTAGCACAGGTTTTCCCAAATCTGCAGACACTCATCAAGCTACAAGAACTCTTCCCGGCTAAAACAGGGCATTGGTTTTAGCAGCATGAATATAAACAAGATAAAGGGCTGCATTTGACACCAGAATTTGAGCTGGGTTGTTCAGCAGATACAGTTTTGAAAAGTGCAGGATATGATGTCAGTGTATTCACCAATGGAATTGTAATATTAGAGGAAAAGACAAGTGTAAATGCAATGAAAGCCACGTGGATTATTGATGGGGTTCAAGCCCAGGTACTCTGTGCTGAAAGAACACTACTAGGGGAACAGCTCACTTTCCAGCTATCACACAGCCCCACAAATCTATTAAGGAAGTCAGCCCCTCACTGTCACAGGAATTAGAGAAGATTGCCTTATTATTCTGCTCTTATTTATAGTGTATGAATGATGTGAAGATAATGTACTTGCTGCTGCTTTTAAGTAGACTTGTCATTTAACCACAAAATCCTGATAGATTTTACTGTATATATTACAGCTGCAATTACACAGCATACGTTTTTTCCAGTTTACTTCTCTTAGTAATCTAATTCTTAGAAAGAAATCTAAATTATCTTTTCAAACCTCATAAGCTAGATACTCGGAATTTGATTATGCATTTTTGGAAGTGAGAAGCACAAACCTGATTTCCCTGCAGACAATGTGGAAAGCCATTGCCTTCAGGAAGAACTGGGTGATGCATACAGAATTCCTCTCAAGTCTGACATCTACCGTACAGATCTGAAATGCTTGTACCTCAGTATGCACACAGGAAGTAACAGACACATGATTATACCTAAAATAACACCCGGTCTGAATGCTGCTAAACACTACTGGGGAAATTTCAGTCTGAACTTTATACTTAGATACCTTTTGTATTCCATTGCAGCACCACCACGTCTGTGACTTTAAAGAAATAAACTCTCATACATGTTTTCTCCCTTCAAGATGGCAGATTCAGACTGTTTCAGCTTAGAGTGTTTTAGATTCTTCCTCTTCCATCCCCAAGTAAACTGTGTGATGCCACAAGCAGGCTTTTCAGTGCAAGGAGAAATAACTTCTTAATACTAACTGAACATGGAAATTTAGGAGCACAACTTTACAACTGAGTACACTGCATATGCCAGCATTTTATCCAACATAAACAAGCACATAGAGATAATCTTGTTGAAATGTTTGAAATTAATTAAAAAGCAGCATTTGTGTGCTACAGGGAACATAACTTACTCTTTGAATAAAAGTGTTTAAAGACAAAATTGCATAATAAATTTTTTGCTATGAGTTTGTCTATGCTTCTCTTGTTTCTTCCAGAACAGTAACATTTTATTGTGTATTTTGACCTTTACCTCAGCTGATTAGAAACATCCACCAGTCACTCTCTTTGTACCGTGACTTTGCACTGCCAGTGGTCCTTAAGCTGAAAGAATCTAATATGTTTTCTGGTCTCTGCAGCCACTGTCATTTAATAAACCTATTGAAGGATTGCATTTTTAAAAAATAGTTTCCAGCAGATTTCTTTTGTCACTCTTACACACATAATATGTCCAGGAAAAAAAATCAGGCATGATCAGAAAGACTGATGTAGCTAACATGCTACCATAATAAGACCCACAGTCCAGTAAGGGGAAATATGACCTTGCTTATCCTTTTCTGCTACTGTGATTCCAGGCAGCTTCTTGGGCTAGGGAGATTTGCAGTACCTGGAGAATATCTCATGTGTGACACAGATATCAACATTGTGTCCCTGGCAGACCTCTGGGAACTAAACTGTCACTGGGATGCTCAGAAGCCACCAATGCGTTGTGCATTGCTTGATTTCATTCTTCTCATGTGCCTTTTCCTTGGGTAAATGGGTGAGAATCTTTCCTCACGACTTCAGTCAGTTCCCAACATAGATTAAGACTTCTGGGGCTTTTCAAAGAGAGACACTACAGAGATTTGAAAGCTAATAAATGTGTATTTTTTCCTCTCTGGTTTATACTACTACTTTTGAGCTGGATCATGAGCCACTAGAGGAAATGAGGACAAGCATCACACCACACACCCTATACACCCTATATGGCTTACTGGTGTCACTGGGCTGTGCTCAGGGTGTCAGGGAAAGCTGTCATGCAGCAGCGCTGCACATGGTGGCTGGGAGGGATCCTGTAGGGAGGAAAAGGAGCAAACAATCCACTGCCTGTGTCCCTGTTTCCTCTGTCAGCCATGACATGGCCAAGCTGCCTCACCACAGGAGAGGCCTACCCTGTTCAAGTTTAATGTTAAGAAATTGACTCAGTGATTATGAAAAAGACATCAATTATTGCCCAAGCCCCCCCAGACCCCTCAGGATATCTCAAAATCCTTGTCCCACCGCATTTCCAACAAAGGCACCACAGAAAGTGACTGTGAGATCAGCTTTCCTTTTATGCATTCTCCCTCTGTACCATGTTGGCAGCATCAAAGGATAGGAGAGTGGAAACTGTCCCTTAGGGAGACCCTTTACAGGAGAAAAGCATTTATTTGCCTTAGTCTGATTGTTCCTTGGACCTTTTTAGAAAAGATGGTGGCTCTGTGCCAGTGTATCTGCCAGACTCTGCTGTGACATGAGCCTCACTGGAGGCCTTATGGACACAGTGTGCTCTGGCTCCCTTCTGATGGAACACCCCGAGCCTTTGCAGCACATGGGGAAGACAGGGACCTAAAAATTCTTCTTCCCTAATGAACCTTAAGAACAAGAGCACAGAGCTGGTATGTGGGCTGGCTGCCTGGAAGGTAGCCCTGGGTTTGGGAAGTCACATCACGTGGTTGTGCCAGTAGGGTTTGCTCACAGGGAATGGCTCCGGCTTAGGCATCGCCCGATGCAGTGAAGCACCTGCTTCCCTTCTGGTAAGGAGGGGGAATAGCTGGGGGAGGCTGATGGGCCAGAGGGGGAGCTAGACTGTTCTAAAGCTTTTCTGGGCACTGGAACTGGGACTTGGAGGGCCTAAGTATATTCATCTATTTACATACCTTTTGCCCAGCACCCCAAGCAGTGGCTGGGCAGTCTCTGAGTCTGTGAACACTAACTAAACCCAAAAATTAATGTTCATCTCATTCTCCTTTTTATTGGTTGGCTTTTTAGTTGAGCTAATTAAAAGCAAGGCCTGAGTTAAAATCTTGTTTTTTTCAGGTTAGCTGTAGTTTAACATTAATGCCTGGGTTTGATACTGCTTATAATAGCAGTGAAGTAATCGTATTTTATAGTAGTTATGAATCTCCTTATTTTCCAGAAGTTAATGTAATAATAATCGTTTTAAGGCTCTCTTATTACCAGCTGTAAGTCTAATTTTCTAACAAGATGCTGCTAATTGCATTACTCTGGCTTCAGCAGTTTTCTTTGTGTCAGAGCCCCTTAGAGGGGAAGTAGATTCTTAGCCAGAGTTCTTGTTTTGGTCCTGTAAAATGTAATTGTATTGTAACAGTAGCTTCTTCTTAATAATTTTTATCTGTTTTATTAATTATTGTCTAGGTTTTGCTACATCAATTACTTTTGCATTGCTGACAGTCCAACTGCATGTAGTTCAAATAGATCAGTATCCACAAACTGTCTCAATTGATTGTAATTGCATTACTCTCATTTCAGTGAGTACAGTATTTACCACCTCACCAGCTGGTAGAATTTTGATTGTATTAAAATTCTCAAAACATTACATTACCTGAAAATTCATTTGGAAACCTATCCCCAAGAGTCTGTTTCATAGTCTGCTTCTATGAAAAATAAATGGACAAGTTAGAATCTGCCTTCAGCCATAAGAGTTTTTGAGGCAGGTAATGCATAGTCTGTTAGCCACATCTTGCTTGTGACCTTGTGACAGTGACAGCTCTTGGGCAGTCACTGTCTGCATGCATGGCCCAACAGGTCTAAAATGGAAGTAAAATTAAAATTAAGTATGAAGAGCAGGGCTATAGACTGTCTGGCTGAACCTGTTACACAGTCTCATCTTCAGCTAGGTAGAGGGATACAGTATGTTAGCTCCCATTTTCAGAGACTCATTTTAAAGGCCAGTGTTCAAACAAGATTTTTTTTCAGTTTGTGATCTTTATTAAAGACTCTGAGGAAAAGCAGATTAGAGATCCCGATTGCATTTGGCACACACGGCACTGTGAATCCAGCATCCTAAGCAAAGGATCATCGTACCTGAGGATGCAGCCAAGGAACTGAAACTTTCAGAGAACATGTTACTTCCTCTTCGCTGTTGGAAGTTTTGTTTCATTCTGCAGTAAGTTCAGGATCCTCTGGAAATTCGGGTTATTGATCCTCTTCTCTCTCCCTTAATCCTCATGTTCTGGGGTGCAGACCAGATGTGTTCTGACCTGCTTCTTTGTCTTTGGGACTTGCTGCCAGATGGGCCTCCATGAAATGTGTCCCTTCACCTTCCTTTGGGATGAAGATAGATCCATGTTTTTGCACTCTAGTAACGCCTGGGACTGGCAAATACTTGAGTAGGGAATTCGTACCGCTGGCAAGCTGTGAGGGTGAGAGGAGAACCCGAGTGGCGAGCAGAGCCAGCTGGCCGGGCCCGTGCAGGGCTGCCTGTCCCTGCTCACAGGCGGCTTCTCTCGCCATCTGCCGGAGCTCCTGCCGGGAACGCGCTGGGAAAGCGCTGGGAAAGCGCTGGGAATGCGCTGGGAAAGCGCTGGGAATGCCTGGCTGCAGGCACGGCAGAGTGCGGG